AAAAATATATTAAAAAATATATTAAAAAATATATTTCGCTTGGTAGGCAAACAAAGGAGCGGTCAGCTGACGGATGCTGACAATGAAGATGAGACGATGGAGGGAGACAGGGGCGTCACTCTTACACCAGCGCAAGAGGAAGGTAGGACAGGCTAATTATTATTCCGAAGGGAGTGAGTGAGTCCCGTTTTACTTTTGTTTGAGCATCCTTCCATCTTTCATGACATGACCTAACATTTTACGAACGGCGAGAACGCATTAAAGAAAAGAAAATTGGCCAAAACGGAAACATGATCTTAATCGATTTGTTTACAAACGGTAGAAAAGAAACTGCCAAGATCCTTTATATGTTATTATTTGTAACCAATCAGAGATGTAGAAGTGGGCTGTAGAATCAACAACGCACACTGGCGTTGTATTTCTAAATAAATCTCGAAGATTATATTACCCTGGATGACCATTCTTTCTAATTCCAGAGCTAAGGAAAGACCTGCAGACAAAGATCGAAGCTCTTATCGATGAGGAAAGGAAAAAATATGGTAACTAGATTTGTCTGGAACAAATGTCTCACTATCAGAAACATGACTCCATATGGGAGGAGTAGCTTGGCTGAGAAGCCAGTGAATGCGATACCGGAGAAGATTTCACGGTTGTCTCAGTATACGTGTCATTTGAACATGACACATGTGTCCGAGGTGGGTCTCAGTACACGTGTCATTTGAACACGGGGGCGGTCGGGTAGCCTAGTGGTTAAAGCGTTCGCTTTTCACGCCGAAGACCCGGGTTCGATTGCCGACATGGGTACAATGTGTGAAGCCCATTTCTGGTGTCCCCTGCCGTGATATTGCTGGAATATTGCTGAAAGCGGCGTAAAACCATACTCACCCACTCACTCACTCACTTTGAACACGACACACATGTCCAAGGCTGGTCTCAGTACACGAGTCATTTGAACACGACAGATATGTCCAAGGCTGGTCTCAGTACACGAGTCATTTAAACACGACAGATATGTCCACGGCTGGTTTCAGTACACGAGTCATTTAAACACGACAGATATGTCCTCTTGGACAGGAACAAAGCGCCCAAAGAAGATAAAGATAAAGGATATCTTTGTTTCGTTTTGTTTTTGGTTGTTGTATTTTGTTTAACGTCGCACTCAGCAATATTCCAGCTATATGACGACAGTCTGTAAATAATCGAGTCTGGATCATGAGCATCGATCCACGCAATTTCTATACGATGACATAAATCAACCAAGTCAGCGAGCCTGACCACCCGATCCCCTTAGTCGCCTCTTACGACAAGCTTAGTCGCCTTTTACGACAAGCATGGGTTGCTGAAGACCTATTCTACGCCGGATCTTCACGGGTGTGAAACTTCCGAATGAAACCTTAACAAAGGATGAGTTGATGTCGTCTTCCACGTCACCGTCAGCTGTATTCCAGCTATATCATGGCTCCCTCTGAACCGAGTGCCGAGTGACCAAAGATCCACATCGTTGATAGTCAAAGAAACCATTAGGTCTTAACAGTCGGTCTTGTAACAGGCAACTAGTACTAGAGACGTGCTTTGCCCAGGAGTACACACATACCAAGCATATTGCCTTTGACGAATGGCCCGTGAAGATCCGGGTTCGGACAGATCTTCAGCAACCCATGCTTGCCGTAAAAGGCGACTATGCTTGTCGTAAGAAGCGACAAACGGGATCGGGTGGCCAGGTTCGCCTATTGTTTACATTTGTCATATTGGTTATGCATGACCTTTAAATTAAAAATGTCTTATTGATCTATATCTGCATGGTTTCTTTCAGGTCTCTAATCCTACGTGGAAACTCCTCAAGTTCAGCGGGGAAATGGCCGAAACTAGTTTGATGTATCTTATTCAATAAACATCTGCAGATCGAACTGCGTCGTGTTGTGCTAAATGTAAGTCACTGCACCTCAGTTTGGGTCAGAGTCGAGTTCGAGGTAAGATAGTGACTGTTTGGGCCTAACGGGAATGTCACATTTAAAACTCTGGATTCAGGCGAATTGAGAACAACTTGCCTCTTTTTTTCTCTCACTTACATGTCAGTTTATATCTGATATGATTAAGGACGTATAATGAGAAACATGGGTAAAAAAAATAAAAAATCAATTTCAAGAGAAAGTGTTAGTATGAACGTGATAGATAGCTCGCCTGACAGAAAATCAAGTGAGTTCACATATGGCCTGCTTTGCTTGTCCAGCGTCCGGTGTCATCTGCGGCCTCGTCTGTGTACAGCTTCTCAAAAAGCGCTGGCCCAATGAAGATAAAACTTCGCATGTCTGAATTTCTTTAAGAGATTCGAATAATATGTTCAATAAGACTGCCATGGATGTCATATTAAACAAATATTTATGTTTGTTTGTTGTTTAACGCCACACTCAGCAATAGTACAGCTATATGACGGCGGTCTAAAAATAATCGAGCCTGGACCAGACAACCCAGTGATTGACAACATGAGCATCGATCCATGCAACTGGGATGCGATGACATGCATCAACCAAGTCAGCAAGCCTGACCATTCGGACCCGTTAGTCGCCTTTTACGGCAAGCAAAGTCGCCTTTGTTACCAAATGAAATGCAATTTGGTGTATGTGTAGTTATGATTGAGACCGACCATATATACTTACGACTAAAAATAAGGGAGCTGATGAAATTATAGTGAGTTGGGTTTAACGCCGCTTTTAACAGTATTCCAGAAATATCACGGCATGTCAGCTTAATGTGGGAGGAAAGCCCGAAGTGATGCAGGTCGCAGACGTTTACCACTTCCGTGAAACCCATGAGCACGGGTATGGTGCTGACAAACCTAGAAACATAATCGGGGCGAACCGGGACTCGAACCCACAATCATAGGTTTCTGGCGTGCCCAAGGGACGCAACTCTGCACAGCGAATCGCGGCGCCTTAGGCGACTGGGACTCCCGAGCCCCCGAAATGATAGTGAAGCTGTAATGATACATATCTGTAAAATTGATTTCAAAGTCTGGTGTGTCCACACGACACCTTGCGGGTATGCTGTTGATTAACATGCGTGTGGTTGTCCTTAGTATTGCCTGCCATTCCGCCTGAAGAGCTACCCCAAACTTGGGCACGATGGCGGGTGCTCCCTGACGTACACTCTCGACCTGAGAACATCCCCGGGCGTCCAATGTCCGTATGCCTTCTCGTCGGAGATAATACGTGACGACCTGGGCACAATGTGGTCTGGCAATGCCATCTTGTAGTTCAAATCTGTGCAGCGAATGTAACACCGACAGGACGCAACATGTCATCAACATATCGCTGGCCAGTCAAATGACCTTCACAATAACTAAATCAGTTCGCCATATGTGATTCTGCCCCACACCATGACACTATCACCCCCATACCGATCTTGGTCAGGAATTGTTGCCCTGCATACCACTCGCCACTACGTCGCCAACACCGTTTTCTGCCATATGTGAATCGGAGGAAAATCCTTCATTCGTCTGTAAACATGGTGTAACGCCATTGGCGCACACCCCGTTCCTGGTGTTGTTTAACGCCGGTCCCAGCAATATTCAAGCTATATGACGGCGGTCTGTAACGACTAAAGGGATTGGGTGGTCAGGCTCGCTGACTTGGTTCATGCATGTCATCGATCCCAATTGCGTGGATCGATGTTCATGATGACAATCACCGGATTGTCTGGTCCAAACTCGATTATTTACAGACCGCCGTCATATGGCTGGAATATTGCCGAGTGCGGCGTTAAACAAACAAAAAAAACATTAGTGATTGGTTCTGCGCATGTAAAATTTCTTTATGATTAGATGTTGCGTTCAGATGGAACGCCACGGTATTGTAAATGTACACCGATACCTACATTCAAATATTTAGTTCCTTTTCTTGCCGGTAGATGCCGGTGTTTTTAAGGTCCTCAGTGGGGGCTTTTCTTACCATGCCCTTTAAATGCTTTCTCAGTTCCTTCATCAAAATCTCGAGAAAACTTCTGGACCGACAAAGCTGACATGTATCCTGTATTTTCCTTCTGATGACATATTTTGTTCAAATCTTTGTGATTTTATTGTTAGTTTTAGTTCACTTGACTAAAAGCACAGCGAGTTCGTACAGCACGACGCACGACGCTCGAAATTAGAGTTTTGTTTTCAGAAATTACTTTGTATTGTTTGTTTCTTTAACGCCTTACACAGGAATATTACAGCGATATGGCGGCGGTCAGTAAATGATCGAGTCTGGACCAGACAATCCAGTAATTTGTATCATGAGCATCGATCCGCGCAATATGAATCCATTTGGTCCCTCTTACGACCAGCATAGGTTGCTCGGGACATATTCTAGCCCGGAATCCTTCAGCGCCCCCGCCCTTAGCCCATATGGGTCGGCATCATGTGGAACTTTATCCTTAAGAAGTCAAACCCGTGGCGATCCACTAACCCCAGGACACAGTCGACATGTGGACCTCAAACACCCTTCAACCCCTCAGCCCTCAACTTCCAAGGTCTCCATAAAATGGAACTGTATTACTTAAAAAACTGGAATGGAAATATGAGACACTGGATTGTCATTGATGAATTCTTGAAGAACCTCGTCATGTACTGCGCGAGTTATATTTTATTACGCTTCGGCAAAAGTCCATCCAAGTGCTGCGGGAGACAACGTGAATAAGCGCTCTGCTCAATGTGCACATTTTGGAATAGAAACCGCTGTTGAAAAGACAAACCAATGCTTTAATCGCAGTAACCCACCATCTTTAAAGGGATTGACAGAGTTGTATTTTACGCTGCATTAAGCAATATTCCAGCTATATCGTGTGTTTGTGTGTGTGTGTGGGGGGGGGGGGGGGGGGGGGGGGGCTGGGCTGGGGGTTAATGGACTTGACACAGTGTACCAATGTGGGTAATCGAACCCAGGTCCTAAGCGTGACGAGCGAACGCTTAAACCGCAAGGCTACCCCAACTCGGATTTTAAGGTATTGACATACGAAACACATGAAACAGCAATATATATTTCAAATATTTGTAACAGTCATTAATACATTCAAGATGAACAGTCAATGAAGAGAACGATGAACCCACGAAATCATTGATTGTCGGGATGTCATAAAAGGTACCACCGACAAGTGAGATAACTAATGTCAACAAGGGAGATAACCATAAATTTTAGAACTCTTGCGACTGGGAGGAAGCAGCGGCACTAGCCTTGCCTGACTTCTTTGGAAGCAATGCCTGTTGAATATTCGGGAGAACGCCTCCCTCAGATATCGTAACGCCACTCAACAGTTTGTTTAGTTCGTCATCATTTCTGATAGCTAGTTGTATGTGACGAGGGACGATCCTAGCCTTCTTGTTATCCCTCGCGGCATTTCCCGCCAATTCCAGAACCTCTGCTGCTAGGTACTCGAGGACGGCCGCCATGTATACAGGGGCACCGGCGCCTATTCTTTCTGCATAGTTCCCTTTCCTCAGCAGACGATGGAGCCGCCCCACAGGGAACTGGAGTCCGGCACGGGAAGATCTACTCTTAGACTTGGAGGCTTTGATCTTGCCGCCTTTACCTCGTCCAGACATGCTTATCTGAAATAAAGCGAATATGCATGGTTTAACTAAATTTATTTAGTTGTTTTGTTTTTAAAAAGTGTCACGGCATTTGAACTCGCCTGTATGTGCTGTCAAATACTAGGGGGCACGGGTGGACAAGTCGTCTAAGGAGCCGCGATTCGCTGTGCAGAGTTGCGTCCCTTGGGCACATTAAGCTGACATGCCGTGATATAACTGGAATAATGTTAAAAGCGGCGTTAAACCTAACTCACTCACTGTCAAATACTGCAGTCTAAAATGTCAAGAAAGACAGACTTGAACACTAGACGTTATCAGATTCTGCATAACTACTGAAGACCAACTAACACTAAATTCTATAGATCTACACCAAATATGAAACATTCATGCCAAGGTTCAGTGTTCTGTCAGTTTTAAAGAATTTAAGAGCAGGGTCAAGAAACTTTCAATTTTTTTAATATCACGAAAATCAGACATTTTGAGTGAGTGAGTTTAACGCCGCTTTGAACAGTATTCCAGTTATCACACAGCGTGTCGGCTAAATGTGGGAGTAAAGCCCGAAGTTATGCAGGTCTTAATGGATAAATTGAACAAACTCACATAACGCGTCTGTGACAAGGAGCCGGTGCACATTTTGTTTGTTTCAGGCAGAGAGGGTGTGGTCATGTTATGCACGTGCAGGTCATGACGATGAAATTGACAACGCTTCTATGGACACGCGTGTTGCTCACATGTCATTTAAGAGCTCGGCGTGACAAGTCGATACCAGAATTCTCTAACAGTCGCTTGATAGAAGTAAACAAATAAAAATGTCAAAGCTGGGTAAGCTTCCATTCCATTCCAAATTGTTATCTCTTTAAATTTGCTGGAACCGTTTTCAAAGTCATCAAGTACCTAACATCAGCATGTGCTATTATGTGCTATTGAACTCGCCACTAGAATTCGTTAACGTTGTTAGCCGAGACAGGGGACACACATATCCATCGCACTGCTTGTCTCGGCGTGATCGGGTGGTCAGACTCGCTGACTTGGTTCATGCATGTCATCGATCCAAATGGCGTGGATCGATGCTCATTATATTGATCACTGGATTGTCTGGCCCAGAATCGATTATTTACAGACCGCCGTTATATAGCTGGAATATTGCGTTAAACAACAAACCAACCATTTTGTCTCGGACCACCCGCAACCTCTTTCTGCACATTGGTACGCGCCAGTGGGCCGACCTCATTCATTGTTATCCCGGGTTAATTGTGAGGTCAAATTTATCCAGTGATTGACGTCGATCTACGCAATAATTATTGGGATACGATGACATGCATAAACCAAATCGGCACCACCACCAAAATCCTTGTTACAACATAGACCCCTTCTAGATTTCAACGGACACACTAAACGTTTAAGAAACTAAAATGTTATTTGTTCGTTACACTTACAGATAGCACAAAATAAATCATGGCTCTTCTTCAATTGATGTACACACACCTACATTAGTACTTTCCGATTTAAAGGATTTAGGTTTACCTTTAATATTCACCGACATATATTTATAGCATCATGAAGTCAACTCACATCTGACGTTGTCACCCTCCCAGTTTATCCCAACAATGGCGGATTTCACTCGCGCACTTCTCGCGCCCTGTCACATGACAAACTCACGTGCGCCGAATGAAGCTGCGTTTGCGCGATATTTTTTACTGTTGAGAACGTAGACACACGCGATAATGCCTGTGGATATCTGTTGTGCTTGTCTGCGCTCGTTATACCTCAAACATGTGTTTGTTGTTTAACGCTTCACTGAGCATTATTCCAGCTAAATGACGGCGGTCTGTAAATAATCGATTCAGGACGAGTCAAACCAGTGATTGATATCATGAGCTTCGATCCACGCAATTGGGATACGATGACATGCATTAACCAAGTCAGCGAGCCTGACCACACGATCCCGTTAGTCTCTACTCCAACAAGCATAGTCAGTCGCCTTTCACAGCAAGCTTGGGTTGCTGAAGACCTATTCTAACCGAGATCTTCAAGGGTTAATATTTCAAATGTGAAGCACGGGTTTCACAGGCCTCACCTGTTATCCGACCGCCTCCGTGGTCTAGTGGTAGAGCGTCCGCCCGGAGAGCGGAAGATCCGGGGTTCGATCCCCGGCCGCGTCATACCAAAAGACGTTAAAAGATGGTACTTGTTGATACCCTGTCTGGCGCTAGGCATTTAAGGGCTTAAACAAGGACTGGTCGGCTCGGAGTCAGTATACTGTGTCTGAGTGGGGTATTCGTGTTAAACTGTGGCATGGTATCTCAGTGTGCTAGCGCTATAAATCGGCATCAGCCCTGACTAGTACAAGCAGCCACACACACACGTGCATGCTATATAAGTGCAATAATCTTGGACGCGACGTTAAACCCCATTTCACCTCACCTCACCTCACCTCACCTCACCTGTTATCCCACAGTTGAGATGACTGGCCAGTGATGCAAGGCGCTCAAAACATAGGGGACAGTCGGGTAGCCTAGTGGTTAAAGCGTTCGCTCGTCACTCCGATGACCAGGGTTCAATTCCCGACATGGGTACAATGTGTGAAGCCCATTAAGGGTGTGCCCCGCCGTGATATTGCTGAACTATTTCTAAAAGCGGCGTTAAACCATACTCACTCACTTACTCACTCAAAACATAGTATTAGTTATTAAAACTATGCACATATCTACATTGATTTAGATTCATGTTTGTTTCTTGTTTAAGGCTGCACTCAGCAATATTCAAGCTATATGACGGCGGCCTGTAAATAATCGAGTCTGGACCAGACAAACCAGTGGTCGATATTGTGAGCAACGATCCACGTCGTCGGGGTACGATGACAGCCTTCATCTTATTCCGAGGCTGACCACCCGAATCATTTGGTCTCCTCGGGTTTAAATTCTCACACTCTTAAAATAACGATCTCTTTATCTTTCATTTCTGACATTTCTCGTACATATAGTCGCTTGAGGGCACTTTAGTCCCGGATATTTCGTCTTTTTGAGTAAATAATAACACGATAAATAATAATAATAAATAATAAACATGAAAAGTCAACGCTAGAGAATAACCAGTCTCGGTTATCTGCCGATTCCACTGTGCGCAAAAGGCAAAATAGTGGTGAAATTTATGGGAGCGGGTTAGGTCTTAAAACTTCTCTGTCGACCTGAACTAGCACAAGAGGGGCCCGGTCATACAAACTGGACATCAGAATGCCTTCAATCACTCACTTGACATCATAAATTGAGCTGCACCCCAAAACTCACCCACTCGCGGGGCGGTCGGGTATCCTAATGGTTAAAGCCTTCGATTCCCGACATGGGTACAATGCGTGAAGCCCACTTCGAGTGTCCCCCGCTGTGATATTGCTGCAATATTGCTAAAAGCGGCGTAAAACCATACTAACTCGCCTCAGGACCGTCTCCATGGTGCAGTGGATAGAGCGTCAGCGAGGGGAGAGGAAGGGTAGTGGTTCGATATACAGCCGCGTCATACCAATAGACAAACTGGTACTTGATATCTTTTGCGTTGAGAATAGACAGGGACCCAGTTGAATTGACACCAATTACGTCATAATCTAAGGGGGATAACTCAGGCCTGTTTAGCTCGAAAAACCGAAGGCCTCATAACGGCATATCATTTTCACACTCTTGTGAGCTTCCTACTTTCACTGTGAAAAAAATGAGTGTATATTTTCAAACACAGATACTAACTAATTCTAAAATTGCGTTTCGTTTAGAAAAAGATAGAAAGTGATTTTTGTGTGTACACTTCCCCTTTAACAGAAGATACGTGCGTTCCCCTGCCTGGCGCTCGGCATTGATGGCATAAAACAAGGACAGGTCAGGTATTATAATGTCGGAGTGGGGTATCATGTTAAACAGTAGCATGGTGTATCAGTGTGCTAGCACTATAAAGCCGGCATTCGTCCAGACTAGTACAAGCAGCCACACACACACTGCTATATAAGTGCAATAGTCTTGATAACGACGCTTAAGCGCATTTGACAATCACAAGCTCTTCTTTCGAAATACTTAATGATTGATTTAATTTGTTTAACCTGCTCAGATGCAATATAACCGTCGATATGTAAGTGCTATAATCTTGAACTCGACGTTAAACCCATTTCACCTCACCGCACTCCCTGAAGTACAAGTGTTCTAATATATTTCCACTCACAACGCTCACGTGTTCGAAGAGAACGAACCTATTCTGCTCGTTCAGATGTCACAACGTACCAAACATGGTATCTTATGACGGAATACTGACAAAACGACCCGTTAAGATCTTCAGCATCCCATGCTTGCCGTAAAAGGCGACTATGCATGTCGTAAGAGGCGACTAACGGGATCGGGTGGTCAGGCTCGCTGACTTTGTTGATACATGTCATCGTATCTCAATTGCATGGAACGATGCTCATGATGGCAATCACTGGATTGTCTGGTCCACAATCGATTATTTACAGACCGCCGTCGAAAAGCTGGAATATTGCTGAGTGCGGCGTTAAACAAACAAGAACTGAGAAAACAAGGTAGCATAACAACTTGATAACTAAATGTTATCATAATGCTTCGTTGCCTAGAGAACCCATTGTACTATAGATGGAAGCTGTTCTCAGTGTAAACACGAGTACCGTTCTGCCTTTCTATTTTGAATCCGTAGAAAATACTGTCAATTAACTGAAACGCTTCTGTCTATGAACAAGAGTGAAACGCATTAGGATCACGTGTACATACACACGTCAACCATCAAACAAGGACTCGTGTCCTCATTAGCGTGTTTTATTCCGGCACGTGATGTGACAGAAACGTGTTTAACAGATCGCCTGGTACGACAGAATGACGGACTGATGCATTTATTTCGTTAATGAGGACATATAGCATCTGGCCGTGTGTATGGGCTGCTGGTCGTCTGCTCTATAGGTGTGGTTAAAAGTCGTCTGCTCCATAAAAGTGCTTAAAAGTCGTCTGCTCCACAAGTGTGTTTTAAAGTCAGATATAAGCTCTGTAACTTCCATAGAATAGATTGAAAGTTTTTACGTATGTTAAGCAGTGCGGACAGTAGCTTGTCTGCCTCCAAAAGTGCTTTTTTCATAGAAGTTGTCTGCTTATTTGGGTGCGATGGTCACTCCGACAGTGTTCCTTCAATACTACGTTTTATTTTAATTTTAATCAATGTGAACTGAATTTGTCTGCTCCAAAAGTGTACATATAGAAGTCGTCTGCTTGGAAAGGGATCTGCTTCAATAGTATGAACTGAAGGACGTCTGTTGTCGAATATAATGACTATATTTTGAGCAAACATTGCACTTTAAGTTATTCACGCAATTACTTTGTTTGTTTGTTGTTTAACGCCGCACTCAGCAATATTCCAGCTATATGACGGCGGTCTGTATATAATCGAGTCTGGACCAGACAATCCAGTGATTGACATCATGAGCATCGATTCACGCAATTGAGATCGATGACATGCATCAACCAAGTCAGTGAGCCTGACCACCCGATCCCGATCGTTGCCTCTTACGACAAAAATAGTCGCCTTTTAACGGCATGCATGGGTTGCTGAAGACCTATTCTACCCATTCACGATATTGATCAGTCAGCGTTACACATTCGAGTCAAACACAATCTGGTAAGTCACAAAACCCATCATCACACCTGAACTTCGCCTTTGCCTAAAGACTCAACACCAGGTTTGCTTCCGCTCATCTACTTAGTGGTCATCTGAGTCATCCGCAATTACATGTATATGTGCAGAGTTGCCTCCCTTGGGCACGCCAGAAACCTATCATTGTGGGTTCGAATCCCGGTTCGCCCCGATTATGTTTCTAGGTTTGTCAGCACCATACCCGTGCTCGTGGGTTTCACCGAAGTGGTAAACGTCTGAGACCTGCATCCCTTCGGGCTTTCCCCCCAACATTAAGCTGACACGCCGCGATATAACTGGAATACTGTTAAAAGCGGCGTTAAACTAAACCCACTCACTCACTAATGAGTGAGTGAGTATGATTTTACGCCGGTTTGAGCAATATTCCAGCAATATCACGGCGGGGGACACCACAAATGGTCTTCACACATTGTACCCATGTCGGGAATCGAATCCGGGTCTTCGGCGTGACGAGCGAACGCTTTAACCACGAGGCTACCCGACCGCCCTGGAACTAATGAACAGATCATTGGTTTCATTGATTTGACATGACAGACGCCACTCGGTCTTTCAAGTCTCGAGAACACTCGTATCATTGGCCTTCCTCACTTCCACGGCATGAAGTAGCACAGGCAGCATCCGGACCGGCTCAGATGTCGCTAGTTTTGTCTGCCTGAGTAGCTGGGATTACTGCACGAAACGGGCAAGGGAAGGGGTGGTGTTACTCGTGACAGATATCTGAGGTAGGCTCATTAAGGACAAATCATTCTATTGCACCTGAATGCACGGACGTCAGGAAATAGGACTTCAGGTTATACAGGAAGACGATGACTTGAAGTATATATGGTAGAGCCTTTCATCTGACTAATTACACGGCCCATGTCAGTAGAGGTAAGTGTTATCTGAATTTCATAACCACCACAGACAGATCTTATAAAGCAATATTATAAGAAAGACATTTGTAAAAGCGATCTGAAGATTTATTTATGACATTTTATGTACATTTGCTTGAACAAAGGCTTTTTAGTCGAGGTCATTCTAAAAACTGTATTCATGAGTAAAAAGCAACGATGAGTTTGTAAATATGAAAATTCAAAGAATAATCAGTTGATTATCTGCCGAAATAGAATCCAAGCTTAAAGGTAACCAGTGATGAAAATTATCCAAATGGACCATGTCATAAATTTCTCCAGTCGACCTCAACCAGCTTGATAGAGGCCAGGTCATGCAAGCTTGGTATCGGCAGCATCCAATCGGTTATATTGACTGATCAAATACACTGGAGAGCCTGTTATCCGTTATACAAACCCACCAGATTGTAATTAAACTGATTATTATCCCTGTGTTTACTGTTAGTGGAAGACAAACATCGGTTTGATCGTGAGTTTAGGATTGGTCGTTTTATGTAATATACGCTGAACAACCCATTTATTAGGAGGCATGAATAGTTCAGTTGGGATAATGTGTAGCTAAGTCGTTTATCACTTGGTAATCCCAAATAAATGACGTATTCGGTAATCGTGTGTGTGTGTGTGTGTGTGTGGGGGGGGGGGGGGGGGGGTAGGCTAGTCGTTACAGCGTTCGCTAGTCACGCCGAAAACCCGGTTTCAATTCTCCACCTGGGTACAATGTGTGAAGCCCATTTCTGGTGATAATGCTGGAATATTGCTAAAACCGCCTCGCGTGTATGTTTTCGATGACTTCGCTTGCGGATACGACGATTTTCACAAATTTCATATTTTCTTTGTTTCTGTTGACATCCGCACAAGGGTTGTTATAATGAATCGATTGCGAAGCTCCATCAGCACATTTTGATGACCGTATTGAGTACAGATGCTCAACATATGCCGACCCCTGGCATAATGTTCAAATCAGGGTTGATCTCAACTCACTCACACATAGACATGTAAGCCTAATGGGAACTTTAACCAACGCACGTCCAAGTATAAAACTTGATGTACGGCTTATCGCCGAACTTGAATCAAATTGACATGCCAGAAGGCATTATATATGGCATTGTGTATTTGCCCCTTGAGGGAGACTGCACCCCAGGTCACATTTATCGATTATTATGACGTGGCATTGTAGGGGAAGTGGTCAACAGACACAAAACCACGGAGATCTCTAACCGATCAAGATGAATAGGCGTTAATTCATATTTATCGAGTTGTATGACCAGACAATGTATGGTAAGTAGTCAACGGAAACAATACCACGGAGATCTCTTTGTTTGTTTGTTGTTTAACTCCGCACTCAGCAATATATCAGTTATATCACGTCGGTATGTAAATTATCAGACAATCCAGTGATTGACATCATGAGCATCGATCCACGCAACTGGGATACGATGACATGCATCAACCAAGTCAGCGAGCCTGACCACCCGATCCCGTTAGTGGCCTCTTACGGAGATCTCTATCCGATCAAGATGAACAAGGGTTAATTCAAATTTATCGCCTAGAATGACCTGTAATTCTGCTTACCACAATAAGGGTGAGGAATATCCACCTCGATCATCAATTTTGTTCAGTTAAACGCCTATCGGTTATTTTACGAAATCTAAATTTGCTCAATGTCTTTTTCTAATTCCGTATAGCCTTATCAACAGGAATGTTGATTTTACCTTTGTATATAGATTATGAAACTTTAAAGTTTTTCACCTTACACATAAAATCTGTTTAAGCTCAAACCTGTTACCACCTTGATGGTGGGACAGAGTAGATATAAGTAATGGTGTATATAGCGGCACTGGTGATTGAAGGAAGTAGGTGTCAGTGGTCTACGTTTGATGTTCCAGCTCTGAGGTACGAAAGAAGCCAGGCCAGGCTCTGCGATTGCCCTCTCTGAAGACTCACTGTCGAATGCCACGTAGTCCTATCTCTGTTGTAAACACAGACAGGAAGGGTTCTGTACTATCAATGGATTCCTCTGTCCGCGAGAAACGTGACTAGCTTATGCAACTGCAGGATGAAGATCAGGGGAGATAACTGTTACTTTACTCTGGGATTTCTGTTGTGCTGGGTTTGTGAATCCATAGATGGTAATTGATGGACTTGTGTAACATGGGAAAATCATTATATATACGGCCAGATTGTCCCGCTCGGACATTTCAGGATCGTTTCGAAAGGGACGTGTTTGTTTGTGTTCAGGAAGAAAGGAATTACGTCTCAAATATATTTTTTTCAAATTCTACAGAAGCCATCATTTAATTTTACTGGAATCCTCCAAGGAAGCATTGAAAGACAAACTATCCTGATCCAGAAACACTGTTTATAACGTGTCTCAGTGGATATATCAGGCTTTGTTCAGTGAATTAACTTGATGAATTGTTTTAAGCAAATGTAATGCTTGCCTCCGCCATTATGATCAACAACACAGACCACGAGCACCAGGACTCCAAGATCATGATTTCTAACCATACTAGCACCAACAGCATCGGGGATGAATACCTCAGGCCTCGTGTCGACTTCACGCCTCCTCTCGCCTTCGTCATTTTCTACAACGGCATCGTCATCCCCGTCGCCTACATCGGCAACCTCTTCACGTACATCATCGTCTGCATGATGTCCAAGTACAGAGACAGCGTTCCCGACACCCTCATCGGAGGTCTGGCATTAAACGACGTCCTAACCGCCTTCGTCGTGTTCACCCCCAGCATCATCGCCTCCATCAAAGGCGAGTATTTCAACAGCCGCGTGTTCTGTGAGTTCAGCGCCGCCACCGTCGTCTGGTACATCTACACCACCTTCGCCATCATCGTCCTCATCAACGTAGAACGATGGATTGCAATCACCAAACCATTTGTATACAAACGTATGAACTTCACGCCCATGAAAATCAAAGCCATTATAACTCTTGAAGGGCTGTTCTGTCTTCTACTGGCGTCTATTCCGTTGTTGAAGTATCCTGTTCGACTCAAGGCTGGGTGGTACTGCGCCATTACCGACAGCAAGATGGCGGACGGTTCGCCTGGAGACCTGTACGTCGAAGAAATTGTTTATATCACCGTTATCCTTCTATTCATCGGTATCATTGCCCTGGTCGGATGCAACATCAGCATCGCTTATGAGCTCAATCAGAACAAACTATCACAGCCTGGATCAAAGGAAACAGAGAAGAAGAAGAAGTTTGCGAAGTTGATGGGCGTTGTTGCCTTGCTGTTTCTCGTCACGTGGTTGCCGAATTTGGTAAGTACTGTTCCGTGGGTTGTATGTATAGTCTACTCCGGAATTATCGACTGCCTAGAGACCCCAAAAAGTTGTAATATCCGTAGTATTCATGTCAACAATAAGGTTGATTACAGGGCGGCCGGGGAGACTAGTGGTTAAAACGTTCGCTCGTCACGCCGAAGACCCGGGCTCGATTCCCGACATGGGTACAATGTGTGAAGCCCATTTCTGGTGTACCCGCCGTGATATTGCTGAAATATTGCTATTTTTGTTTTTAAGAAAGCGGCGTAAAACCGCTCACTAAGGTTGGTTACAACTTCTTGGGTGATTATCTGGCGTCCCCAGCCTTGAAAATGCTGGAATATTGCTAAAAGTGGCGTAGACCTCATTCGCTCTCTCATTTTCTGATAATAAATTCATTATCTATCTAAACGAAAGCATTTGGTTTTGTTTAGCTATGTTTAGTTTATTGTTCCGACGAAACACCAAAGCTTAACTGCCATCTCATATTGCTCAAAACTCAGCAACCCCGTGAAGATCCGGGGTAGAATAGGTCTTCAGCAACCCATGCTTGCCGTAAAATGCGACTATGCTTGTCGTAAGAGGCGACAAATGGGATCGGGCGGTCAGGCTCGCTGACTTGGTTGATGCATGTCATCGTATCCCAATTGCTCATGACATCAATCACTGGATTGTCCTGTCCAGACTCGATTATTTACAGATTCAAATAGTTATTTCCCTTTTTTTCGTCGGTAGCAATTTCTGCATGTGTCATTGTGGTATATGTTACAACACATAATCCGTTTTGTCGGTTTGTATTAGTTTTCGTTTACCCTTCCATCTTGTTTTATAATCGCGGAGCCCATGCAACAGTTTAAATTCTGGACATTCCATGTGAGTCCACTGGCTTTATGATGCTATTTATATATGAAAACGGTAATGGCATGTGTTCAAAAGTGATTCCGATCCGATAATACACATGGCCGCTACGGCAGCCATATTGAAAACATCATTTTGAATGTTCACTTCACCGTTTATGAATATATGTATATCATTAAGAGGTTGGATCATCTGTTTGTATTGACAAGAGTGTATGATACGTGTCGGTATTTCTAAAAAGACTAAATAAAACATTCTCAGAAAAATACATATACTGCATTCTCAATATCTCCTCCCGAACCACTATTTTACAGCTAAATGTGTAACTATATTTACGCCCTTAATACATATTGGCCAATTTCGATCAATTTGAAATGGCCGCTTGTTTGTTTTTTGTGTTGTTTTTTTTTATTTTAACATATCTTATTCCCAAGGAAATAATTGGAATAAGTTTTCTTAACTCAAGCAGACCTCTCCCTCTCGTTAATTACATACTATCACAGTTCAAATATGTACAGGGGGCACGGTTGGCCCAGTTGTCTAAGGCGCCGCGATTCGCTGTGCATAGTTGCGTCCCTTGGGCACGCCAGAAACCTATGATTGTTGGTTCCAATCCCGGTTCGCCCCGATTATGTTTCTAGGTTTGTCATCACCATACCCGTGCTCGTGGGTTTCACCGAAGTGGTAAACGTCTGAGACCTGCATCACTTCGGGCTTTCCTCCCACATTAAGCTGACACGCCGTGATATAACTGGAATACTGTTAAAAGCGGCGTTAAAACCCAACTCACTCCAATATGTACAAAAGACGGAGGACAGCTAAGAAACGAACTTTTACATTTACTTAAATCTATTCTAAATAAGTCATAATTTAACTGAGAGCATGAAGTCGCGTAATATTGTTAGCAATATAGTGTACTTTCTTAAATCTGGCGATAAATAAGAAGGTTAAAAATGACTGGGTACTTGCACGTTTTGTTTGTCACATTCATGTGTGGCTACAAAGGTCGTTGTGATATGAACTGCGTCTGTTTAGAAAAATAACCCAAGGGAATAGTCATTTAAAAGTTTGTAATTCCGTTTCGATTGCAGACATGTTCTAAGATTAGGTATGCAATACATCATCGGTATTTGACGGCATCCAATCAAACAAGCATGCAACGTGGGAATCGGTTCCTCCCATCATATGGTGCCTGTGTTGTGAGACCATGTCGCTTCTCTCTATGGCATTTTGTGTGGAAGTGTCAATTACACTGCCACGTAGCATCACACTACGTTCGGGGACTAAACTGCCTCGCGTGTAAAGTCGGTAGTAACCCTGCAAGTACCATGTTGCGTGCTTTGAAGCCGTGAATCCATTTTTAAAGACAACCACTTTAGATTTGTCCAAATTGACCACAAATTCGTTTTTGTTGTGTCCAACAAATGAATTACAGCATCAGCAAACAAAAGTAAAAAAGTTGCGCTAACTCCGGATGTAGTTGGATACCTGGATAACAAGATAATTCTGAAATATTGTTCGAAGCGGCGTTAAACCTCACGAACTGCCGAGCAAAAGTGACTGAGTGAGTAAGAGAGTTGGGTTTAACGCCGCTTTTAACAGTATTCCAGTTATATCGCGGCGTGTCAGCTTAATGTGGGAGGAAAGCCCGAAGTGATACAGGTCTCGGACGTTTACAACTTCGGTGAAACCCACGAGCACGGGTATGGTGCTGACAAACCTAGAAACATAATCGGGGCGAACCGGGATTCGAACCCACAATCATAGGTTTCTGGCGTGCCCAAGGGGCGCAACTCTGCACAGCGAATCGCGGCGCCTTAGACGTCTGGGCCACCCGTGCCCCCGCCGAGCAAAAGAACGCATACACCCGTGTTTGATGGTGGAAAACATGAAACAAACGATAAACTGTCATATGATTGTGATGTACTTGATACGGGCATCATACTGTGTTTCTGTTCTGACTGTTTTCAGCCTAGAACGTTTAAATAACGTTGGCATTTCTTTGGTTAAATCCAATTTACAAGTGTATACTTTCTTTTGCCCGGCAGTTTAAATTAGGATTGCGTAAACCCCTTCGGTTAATTTCTGTTTCAGGTATTGATATTGTTGTTTCCATACCATTCCATCCTTTCTTTTTCAGTTCGCAAACGTGGCCTGTTTGAATGGAGTTGGTAAGTGTGAGGAGCTTGAGTTTTGGGCGATGCGTATAGTCAACATGGGCGTCGCTGTCAACCCGATAGTGTACGGAGTTATGAAGAGAACTTACAGAAGAGGTTACATCTACCTTCTACACATGACCATACACTACATGACGTGCACGCTTATCCCAAAACCAAAATGTAAGTACTACGATCCTGAGAAGAAGTTAGTGAGTGAAACGGATACATTTGGTAACAGTTTGTGGCGATAGTGAGTGATTGTTGTTTAAACGCCTCACCCAACAATATTCCTCCTATATGACGGCGGTTATGTAAAGTATCGAATCTGGGTGAAATAAACAAGTGGTTGTTATTATGAACAATGAAACACAATCAACCAAGTTACCAAACCGGACTACCCTTCCAAGCTTCATGTTGCGTACAGGGGTGGTGGGGTAGCCTAGTGGTTAAAGCGTTCGCTCGTTTGTTTGTTGTTTAACGCCACACTCATCAATATCCCAGTTAAATGACGGCGGTCTGAAAATAATCGAGTCTGGACCAGACAATCCAGTGATTGATATCATGAGCATCGATCCACGCAATTGCACGTATCAACCAAGTCAGCGAGCCTGACCACCCGATCCCGTTAGTCGCCTCTTACAAGCTCAGTCGCCTCTTACGACAAGCATAGTCGCTTTTTACAGCACGTATGGGTTGCTGAAGACCTATTCTAGCCCGGATCTTCGCTCGTTATGCCGAAGATCCGGGTTCGATTCCCCACATGGGTACGCCATCTGAAGCCCATTTCTGGTGTACCCCGACGGGATATTGTTGGAATATTGCTAAAAGCGGCGTAAAACCATACTCACAAATACACTTTTGCGTCCAGCTTAGGGTGATGGGGACAAATTCTATCCCAGAATCCCCACTGGGCAGAGAGACGGGTGAATAATAATAACAAAGCCTAAAGGTTGTCATCGAGCATTCATTCTAAGCGCTGGTTAATCCTAAAACGAGTGAGTGAGTTGGGTTTAACGCCGCTTTTAACAGTATTCCAGTTATATCACGGCGTGTCAGCTTAATGTTGGAGGAAAGCACGGAGTGATGCAGGTAACAGACGTTTACCACTTCGGTGAAACCAACGAGCACGGGTATGGTGCCGACAAACCTAGAAACATAATCGGGGTGAACCGCACACAATCATAGGTTTCTGGCGTGTCCAGGGGACGCAACTCTGCACAGCGAATCGTGGCGCCTAAGACGACTGGGCCACCCGTGCCCCGAATCCCCAAACGAAGCTTACATGATCGTGCTATGTTTTCGTCACACAGTTTCTACAAATCAACCCTAACTAAGGCCCCCTCGAAAACATGGAAACGGCAGCACTAAAACACAGAGACCAATCTTTACACAACCACCGTAAACTGGTAAAGTTCACGTGAATATGTCCATTATTGAGGTTGGTTTATCGATCACCGATGTCCAAAAATGGTGGCTCGCGTGCACGGACTGGCACAGCCACCTGTCATACAACTGTAATGTACAAGCAGTACACGTGTCTACCTAGCACGTGCTGGCACACTAATCTGTCAATCAAACCCCTGGTATTTCATTGTTGGGGGATACCACACGATCGATTAGTGTCTATCATTTACAAGTTGGCGTTCGAAAGCAAGGCAAACAGCCAATTTCACGGAGACCAGTTTTTGTTTAATCCTTTTGTACAGCTGATAAAATGGGGGGGGGGGGGGGGGGGGGGGGGGTATAGAAAGGAGGTGCATTTTCATGAGTTCTGATAAAGTAATAGTCTTGTTTACCATGACCTTTTTCAAAACTGATTGTGGGCGATTTATTTTTGTTTTGTTTCATTTTTTGTTCATAAATGGTTTATATTTCGGGGAGGCCCTCGTATCTAAGGCACCACAATTCGTCGTACACAGTTGCGTCCCTTAGGTGTGCCAGGAACCTGTGATCGTGGGTTCGAATCCCAGTTCGCACTGTTTATGCAGCAACCCATTCTTGCCGTACAAGGCGACTATGCTTGTCGTAAGAGGCGACTAACGGAATCGGGTGGTCAGGCTCGCTGACTTGGTTGATGCATGTCATCATATCTCACTTGCGTGGATCGATGCTCATGATGTCAATCACTGGATTGTCTGGTCCAGACTTGATAATTTACAGACCGCCGACATATAGCTGTAATATTGCTGAGTGCGGCGTTAAACAACAAACAAACAAACACTGTTTATGTTTCTTGGTTTGTCAGCACCATACCCGTGCCCGTGGGTTTCACGAAAGTGGTAAGCGTCTAGGACCTGCATCACTTAGGACTATGCTTCCAAGTTGAACTTAAACTGACACACCGTGATATGACTGAAATTCTTTTAAAGAAGCATTAACCTAACTCACTTATTCGCCGGGTAGGGGGCACGGGTGGCACCAGTCGTCTAAGACGCCGCGATTCGCTGTGCAGAGTTGCGTCCCTTGGGCACGCCAGAAACCTGTGATTGTGGGTTCGAATCATGGTTCGCCCCGATTATGTTTCTAGTTTTTGTCATCACCATACCCGTGCTCGTGGGTTTCACTTCGGGCTTTCCTCCCACATAAAGCTGACACGCCGTGATAAAACTGAAATAATGTTAAAAGCGGCGTTAAACCCAACTCACTCACTCACTACTCGCCTGGTAATCTTTCCCAGAAGCCTCCTGATAGTAAGTATTCAAATCTATGAAAGTAAACTTTATTCTAAGTTCCGGATGAAGGGGCGGATCTAGGATCTGACACATTATTAATGGTATGGCGTGTGCAAAAAGTCGAAATAAATAGCAGTTGCGAAATTTGAGTTGTCAAGGTCGGAAAAATTAGGTGCGGGCATTTCATGAGAAATAAAAATGTTATTTGTTCAAATCTAAAATACAAGTGCAAATTTTTCAAATAATAGGCGAACAATGTTGGTGCGGTAGTCGTTTTAAGTCTGTGAATATATTTTTCTGGTGTCGCACTGGTCATCTATATGAAAACTTGTTAATGTTTAATAATTTTCTAAACGTCGTTTTTTGTGTAAGTGAGTGAGTGAGTGAGTGAGTGTGTGTGTGTGTGTGTGTGTGTGTGTGTGTGTGTGTGTGTGTGTGTGTGTGTGTGTTTCTCTGTGTGTAAGAGTTGTGTGTCTGTCTGTCTGTGTGTGTATATCCGTGCGTGCGTGCGTGCGTGCGTGCGTGCGTTCGTGCGCGCGTGTCTGTGTCATTTGATCACGTGCAGTACATTAATATCCAAATGCGCATACTGTTATGCGTACATTCCGTTCTGATTGGTGTGTACTTCAAGTAAGACCGAGAGTATTCGTAACAATGCACTATCGGGATGTGGACGTTATCCAATCTCGTCCAAATCAGATCTTTTCTTTTACACCGATTGGATTCCTCCTTGTATCAAGATCTAGGGAGACCTTTATGTTTATAAGATTAGACAGAAGATAATATGTTCAAAGGTCACGTCAGATGGCACTTGTTTATGTGAGGGTTATGATGTTTATCTGTGAGTTATGATGTATTTGGAACAGAGGGAAGCTTCTGCGGGAACGGATGTTGGAATTCGTGGTAGATGGGAAAGAGATTGAAAATTGTTGGTGTTCTTTGTGCGAACTCAGCTCGCAGACTGACTAACTGACTGCGAGCGAAGTTCACAAAGAACATCAACAATTTAAATCATTATTTTACCGTTTTTTGTCAAATGGTCATATTAATATTTCATGTCATATTCCCATAATCAGAGACCATATCGGTATGTGGTCTCTGACATAATATATAGAGTATATTCCATGTATCTCGCGAAATGTAAATTCTCCGGGCTACCAAACACACAGGAACGGTGTTTTCCAAATTCTGAAAATTCTGCATCATACATATACATATGATTATACACATTCAACTTAAATCTAAAATATTCTTGAAAACAAAGAGACCGCTGTTGGAAGCGAAAGAATACACGCTGGTCAAGTAACAAAAATGGCGCTTTGCGAAACGAACAGTTTCGACTGACGAGTTAAATGAGAATTTTTCATTTCATAACGAAATATTTTCAAGAGAATAACAAAAGGCATGAAGCGATACTAATTCCATAAATGACCATCTGTCATTATTTTGCCTTGTCAATGTGGAACTAACGTAAATGGAAGTCAATAGTTGGTGTACGGGACAGACACTTACGATAAAGGGAGACAATTTGAGGGGAGGTAACTCTTGTATGACTATGGTTCAGTCAAAGTATAATATTCACAGCTGTAAAATATCAAGGGTTGTGCTCACTGCAGTTAAATATCAACTGTTATGTTCACTTCATTGAAAATCTCCCTTTTCTCGACTTCGGAAAACTCAGTCTTTCACACTGAAGTACATAATAAAAAGCTTTACGCTCTTCCCAGGAGTGACGTTGTTATTTTGGCCGGAAATAACATCATGTCAGGTTCTTAGTGCATAAACGTTAAATAAAGTGCATGACTCACTGCCATTCGTAACCACTCGCCCCTTTCCGTGACCTGCAAGAAGACTCGTCCCCCTGTCGATGAATGTTATGTGCGAAAATACGACAAACCAATCAGAATGCGCGTATGATTTCAAGTTCTTCGTCAAAGAACCCTCAGAATAATTTTTGATTTCACATGTGTCTTGCATCTAAAAATATACCCAAGACACAGTGAAATGTGTTCAGTATAATTCCGCTTGTCCCGATGTGCTTTAAACTGCATCTGAAATATTTATAATATGTCGGGAAATATATGTGAACTATTACGCAACGAGTTGACAATTGTTTTAGGTATGCCCGTTTGCGCTGAGACGGAACCCGGTCGTAAAAATGGCCACGAGAGGGGCACGAGTCGCTATTCGATTTGTCCCGGAATAACACGAGTTGGTCACGAATGCCCTATGGCCCTAGTGCATGTCCTTGTTGTGTGTTGTGATGCATTGTAGATTGATTACGCTTTCATTGAATATATACACACAATCACTGATTGTTCATTATAGTGTGTGTACGCTCTATGGAGAGAAGCACGAACTTGACAGCATTACTGTCGCCTCGTGGAAAACAGCATGTGCGTGGGTTTCCCAATATCGCCGCCATTCCATTAATCACATAATGGCCGTAGATCAAAGTAATCATTAAGCAATGCAGGTCTAAGTGCCTTTTTATATGATAGCGGTTATAAAACACTGGGCCTGCATGTTAGATAACGGTAAATGTTGTCAATGTACCAGTTATGAATACGCGTGTCAATTACCCAGCTGTCATATAGGCGAGTATGTTAAATGATCTATATCACCATCCTACTTCTTGATCTGGAGAACTAGCTGTATGAGAAACCCTAGCTGCATCTATTTTAATAATATATAAAAGAAAACAAAACGCATTCCTCGTATCTCAATCACGTCATTTATGGACTTTGAAAGTTTTTCGGCATTCATCTGCCATATGTGATGTGATCTATTTATCTATTTATCTATTTATCTATTTATTTGTATTTAGCTATTATTACTGCGATGCCATATCTAGTGGCGTGTATATATTGTATAATTAGCAATATATTTTAATGATTGTATGTTTATGCAACGTGTGTCTTATAAGCCTGTACACCTAACGCCTACTGAGTGTACAACACGTGACATCATCATCATCATCATCATCAATTATTATTTTATTTTGTTGTTGCGGGTACCCACGTGTGGCCCAGGAGTGTACACTCTGTCTCAGCCTCTGAACCATATTATATTCCCTTCCGCCCAGCCCGTACTGTAATGCTGTAACGGGTTCCGAATCTCCAATCCCATCGGGTCTCCTCCTCTTAAATGTAGTTGTTTGTGTCTATCAAAATTATGTATTTCCAGAGACTAGGCGTTAGTCTATGGCGTGTTAGCCTTGAGTCGTTGCGTGAGGGGTCGGATCCAAGATTTAACCCGATTGTAATCCTTGCTCTCTCAGTTCCGTCCCGTAGTCGTGTGTTTCTCCAAGGCAGTAGACGCCTACGATCTGCTCACTTATCTAATCGGGGCACGGGTGGCCCAGTCGTCCAAGGCGCCACGATTCACAGTGCAGAGTTGCCTCCCTTGGGCACGCCAGAAACCTATGATTGTGGGTTCGAATCCCGGTTCGCCCCGATTATGTTTCTAGGTTTGTCAGCATCATACCTGTGGTCGTTGGTTTCACCGAAGTGGTAAACGTCTGAGACCTGCATCACTTCGGGCTTTCCGCCCACATTAAGCTGACACGCCGTGGTATAACTGGAATACTGTTAAACGGCGTTAAACCCAACGCCCTCACTTATCTTATCACCGTAGAACTGTGAGGAACTTACTTAACATTTGCGCCATAGTCCACCTTAATAATTCAAGGAGATGGTGCCCTAAGTTGGACAACTTGTTCCTAATCCTTTACCATTTGTGAATGAAAAATGTTAAACTTTAACCTAAACCTTATATTTAATAATTACAGAATGAAACATACATGTACACTGCAACCAAACCATTAAGCTGTTCCAGGCTTCATCCCTGCCCTTCATCCTCTGTCATCGGTTGTCAACATGTTTGTTGATTTTTTTTGTTAATTTCTGTTTGCGTCATTCTTAACTAAACATCCATAGTCTGCTCAGTTGGTTAATAAAGGTACTAAAGGCAAAGTAAACCTTTGTCTTCGTTGAAACTACACACTCCTTAATGGCACTTACAGATATTCTATTGTGCCGAACGCTGCTAGAACAAACAGAAATAAAGTGCATTAGGGACACGTGTACCAAATATACACACGTTGCCAATTGACAACGGTGGCACAGTTTCCATTGATCGCTTATCCCCCTCATGACTCGTTAGACTTTCTATGAGGCACAATAATCAAGAGAAAACCTGACTGATAGACTCAATTCAACCGAATGGTTTGTAAACCGTAGTTAAGTACTACTCGCAGCTGTACCGGTTGATCAAACACCAGTGCGTGACGGTCACGTGTTTGTGGAGTTGTGTAACGGTGAAGTTGCGTAAGGTAAAAAATAGTAAAGAAAACATAGTCAATTAGTAGAATTAAGTTAAAAATGAGTTGAATTATGTGTCATGATACGTGTAGAAACACCTAATGTATTTCGAAAACAAAAACATGGGTTTTGAGCAAAGTAAATTGTTTGCCTAGTACAGTTTAAAATTTGAATATTCGATTGAGTTTTTAAAAACAATTATTCCTTAGTGTGTACCCATGAAAACATCATGTTGAATTTTGTAAATACCTTTGAACGAGAGTGGCCACAGCGCGAAGAGTTCCTGGTCAAATTAGTTTCGAGAATTAATATGGGACGTGTTTCTTTTACTGTGGATATGTTTGTTTCCTTTTACCTTACTAGGGGCGGTCGGATAGCCTAGTGGTTAAAGCGTTCGCTCGTCACGCCGAAGACCCGGGTTCGATTCCCGATATGGGTACAATGTGTGAAGCCCATTTCTGGTGTACCCGTGAAGATCCGGGGTAGAATAGACCTTCAGCAACCCATGCTTGCCGTAAAAGGGGACTATGCTTGTCGTAAAAGGCGACTAACGGAATCGGGAGGTCAGGCTCGCTGACTTGGTTGATGCATGTCATCGATCCCAATTGCGTGGATCGATGCTCATGACATTAATCACTGGATTGTCTGGTCCAGACTCGATTATTTACAGACCGCCGTCATATAGCTGGAATATTGCTGAGTGCGGCGTTAAACAACAAACCAACCAACCAACCTATTTCTGGTGTCCCCCGCCGTGATATTGCTGGAATATTGCTAAAAGCGGCGTAAAACCATACTCACTCACTCACTCAATTTTACCTTACATGTTGAATGCTTATGGCGGCTTTGATGTCCAAGTGTTAGCCTGATCGCTGAATTGGGATATATCAATCACAGATTTCTTTTCCAGACTTGATAATTTACAGACAGCCGTTATATAGATGGAATATTGCTAAGTGCAGCGTTAAACGACAAACACTCACTCACCCCAACTCTCTTGTCATATATCTTGATTTGTTTTTCAGATGGGCGTGAAGTCTTCGACCTGCGGGACTCAATGAAGGTCTGTCGTAGCCTGGCTCCCTTAAAGATGAGATCTGGTACCATGGATTGCAAAGTCAAGTCAATTTCTGTCGTCCCCGAAGGAAAGCAACGTTCTGTTGTGCTGTGTGACGAACAGCCAATGTCGAGTGTACGTACTGTGACAGAGCCGCCAGTTGGGTCTTATCTGCCTAACACTGTGGAGGCCAGTGACTCAGGCGATTTCGTTGCATAAAGACATGCCGAGTATCATTCGCCACCACTCGCATCTTTCCGTATCCCACCAGAAGGTATTCGGTTTGTTCCGGAATGGGAAAAGTTTGTCATGAATCATTTACTGCTGTAACCCGGAATCCACCGTGTTATGACGGAATCAACCGAGGCAATCCGAGTAACATTATGGCTTGGACTCTGCGGGTTTCTGGAAAGTGTTTTCAGCTGTGGTGAATTACGAATGACTAAGGAAACAACATGTGAGGGTGGTATGGTATACTTTAAAAATCGAAAAATATGGCCAGAACACGTGCAGTTTTCTGCCATACTGACATATCAGCAGGTCTGACCAAAGATATGGTCACTGGTCTGACATACTATCCCACCTTGATATCATTTTCTCACAATTGTTAATAAAAATGACAAATGTTCTCTCAAAATTGACATTCTCTCACGCCAGACAAACGTTCTCTCAAAACCGGCATACTCCCAGACCAACAAACATTCTCACACTCTTAACAAACGTTATCTCAACCGACAAACACTCTCACGCCGAAAAACATTCTCTCACGATTTACAATAGCTCTAACACCATATCCGAAAAACATTCTCGCACACCTAACATATATTCTCTCACATCCGACAAAGATTATTTCACCCCTGACAAACATTCTCTCACACAGACAAACATCCTCTCCCAATCTACAAACATTCTGTCACACCAACAAACATTCTATCACACCCGTCAATCATTCTCTCACACAGACAAACATTCTCTCTCAATCTACAAACATTCTGTCACACCAACAAACATTCTATCACACCCGTCAAACATTCTCTCACACAAACATTCTCTCACAAACTACAAAAATTCTGTCACACGAACAAACTTTCTCACACCCGACAAACATTCTATCACAATCGCCAAACATTCTCTCACAATCTATAAACATTCTGTCACACAAACAAACATTCATCACCCTCGACAAATATTCTCCCATGATCTACAAACACTCTCACACCCGTCAAAGGTTCTCTCACAACCAACAAACATTCTCTCACAACCCACAAACATTCTCTCACACCCGACATACTCTCACACCGACAAACATTATCTCACTCTAGAGAAACATGTTCTCACACCAGACAAACATGTTCTCACACCAGACAAACATGTTCTCACACCAGACAAACATGTTCTCACACCAGACAAACATTCCCCCTCACATCTGACAAACATTGTCTCAAACTAGACATTCTATCACACTAGACAAACGTTCCCTCACGTCCCACAAACTTTTTCAGACACCTGACAAACATTCTCTTACGCCCCACAAACATTCTCAAACACCAACATTCTTCTTACATCTGACAAACATTCTCTCAAACTAGCCATTCTCTCACACTAGACAAACATTCCCTCACGTCCCACAAACATTTTCTGACATCTGACAAACATTCTCCCACGCCCCACAAACATTCTCCAACAACAGCATTCTTCTTACATCTGACAAACATTCTCTCAAACTAAACATTCTCTCACACCGTCAAACATCCTCTTTCAGTGATAAACATTCTCTGACACCTGACAAACATTCTCTGACACTGACAATTATTCTCCCAGAGCAACAAACATTCTCACACCAGACAAACATTTTCTCGCCCCTGACAAACCCTGTGTTGTGTATGCAAAAGGTTGTCCAAGTTGGTACACCCAAGTGTTGTGTACTTGGATTTAAATGCCGCACTAGTCCAGCTATAATATTTATCTGTCAATAATCGAGTCTGGGCCAGTGATTAAAACCATAAGCGCCGATCCGAACAATTGGGATACGATGACGTGCATCAACCAGGTCAACGAGCCTGACTACCCGATCCCGTTAGTCGCCTCAGAGTGAGTGAGTATGGTTTTACGCCGCTTTTAGCAATATTCCAGCAATATCACGGCGGGGGACACCACAAATGGGCTTCACACATTGTACCCATGTCGGGAATCGAACCCGGGTCTTCGGCGTGAGGAGCGAACGCTTTAACCACTAGGCTACCCGACCGCCCCTAGTAAGGTAAAAGTGAGTATGGTTTTAAGCCGCTTTTAGCAATATTCCAGCAATATCACGGCGGGTGACACCAGAAATGGGCGTCTGGTGGGGGTGGCTGGGGCGGTAAGACGAAATGGTGTTTTATGTCAGATTCAAGCTTATTGCACTTATGGGGTAGCCTAGTGGTTTTAGTGTTCGCTCGTCACTCCGAAGGCCTGGATTCGATTCCCAAAGTGGGTACAATGTATGAAGCCCATTTCACGTCGTGATATTGCTGGGATATTGCTAAAGGAGGCGTAAAACCCAACTCACTCAATCACTTTTGCACTTATAGCAACGTGCAACGTGTGTGTGTGCTGGTACTAGACGGGACTATTGCTGGTTTTATAGCGCTAGCCCACTGAGACACATTATACTGACTCGGAGCCAGTGAGTACCATCTTTTAACGTCTTTTGGTTTGACGCAGCCGGGGATCGAACCACCGACTGGGCACACCCTATCCACTACACCATATACTGATGGTACAAAATAAGGGACACATAGTATTATTGCAGATATTACTTACTGCTGCGCTCCAGGATAAGTACAATGTTAGTGTTTATTGCATTTGTTTGTTTGTTAACGCCGCACTCAGCAATATTCCAGCTGTATGACGGCGGTCTGTAAATAATGCTACGTATATCTGCCCTAGGGTACATACGGAATTTAAAGTTTGAGCAATATTTTCTTACATACCCCTACCCGTGAAGATCCGGGGTAGAATTGGTCTTCAGCGACCCATGCTTGCCGTCAAAGACGACTAATGGGATCGGGTGGTCAGGCTCGCTGACTTGGTTGATGCATGTGATCGTATCCAAATTGCGTGGATCGATGCTCAAGATGTCAATCACTGGAATTTCTGGTCCTGAGTCGATTATTTACAGACCGCCGTCATATGGCTGGAATATTGCTGAGTGTGGCGTTAAACAACAAACAAATAACAATCTTACATACCATTCCTTTATTTATTTCCATCGGTATATAATCCATCCAGACGTCAAGTTTACTTGAAGTTTATTACGAGTGGGTCACGAGGCTGATTAAAACTGTCATAACTTCGAATGAGTGAGTGAGTGAGTGAGCATGGTTTTACGCCGCCTTTAGCAATATTCAAGCAATATCACGTCGGGGGACACCAGACATGTGCTTCATACATTGTACCCATGTAAGGAATCGAACCGTCGGGTCTTCGGCGTGACGAGCGAACACCTTAACCACTAGGCTACCCCACCACCCCTCGTAACGATTCAGTACAGGTTGCGCTGTTGGACCTGTCAATTTGCTGATGTCTTGTCCCTGGGGTATGCCAGAATCCTTTGGTCTGGGTTCGAATCAAACATTTGGTCTGATTATGGTTTGCTCATGGTTTGTCACCACCAAAGCCCCTAAATTTTAGAACCTTCAACACATCGGACTTATATATACGCCAAGCTGGCGCTCTATGATATTATTTAACCCATTTCGGGCTGTGAAGTCGCCTTGTGGTTAAAGCGTTCCCTCGTCATGCTGAATGCATGGGTTTAATTCCCCACATTAGTACAATATGTGAATCTCATATCTGGCATTCCCCGCCTTGATATTGTAAAAAGCGGAGAAAAACTCACTCACTCGCTCACAGTAACAATAAACATTCAATACTGTTTTCCAGACATTTGGATCACGCGCTGTTATATATTTAACTGATATACTGTTCAAAGCGACATAAAACCCAACTCACTCACACACTCGGTTCCAGCGGCATCAAAATACAGAAATGGGTTCTTAAGTCCAAGAACAAGTTGATTCTTCAGTCTACTTTCGTGAGGGAGGGCGCGGGATGAGCACCAGGGTTGAGCTGAGCTTGTTTTCTCAGCTTCCTTTATCTTTTTAATTATTTCTATGAATCTGAAGGGTTTCGGATGAGGATGAACCGAGGCGGATTTGGAAGCCTTCTAAGATGGGGTTGGTCCTCGGGCCAAACGTGTCATGATGATTCCTGAGGTAGAGAAGGAATAGGTCTACTTCTTATCCAAGCAAACTTTGTTTTGTTCGTTGTGTAACTCGGGGGTTGCTGGAGACCCATTCTTACCCGGATCTTCACGGTGTCAGGAATGGTTTGTCAAACTTCATGAAAGAACCTTGTTTTCACAAATGCAACATACCACAGCTGGAGTTAACTGTTACAGTCCTTGACGTGAAACTCGCTCACACAGTATGTATACATGCAATATGTTCCACACAGGTACAGCATAGCATAGTCGCTTTTTAAGGCAAGCATGGGTGGCTGAAGACCTATTCTACCCCGGATCTTCACGGGTCTAATCATCTAATAAAGGTTAATTTGATAGAAAAACAAGCGTAAATGGATATGAATTTCAACTTTTAAAATATTATTTTAGATATGTTACCATCGGATTACCTGGGGAAAGAATTTACTTATTTACAAAATTTTAGTTTGCAAGTTTTATTTTGGATCCGTTGTATTTAAAAAAGAAATATAGATATATTTCTATTTGAATGTGCTGAACAGGATTAAAATACGGTTAGGATTTATACTCTTACATAACGACGTGTGTGTGCGCGCTTGTGTGTGTGTGTGTGTGTGTGTGTCTGCTTGTATTAGTCTGGACTTATTTTATAGTGCTAGCCCACTGAGATACCATGCCGCAGCAGTTTAACATGGATACCCTTCTCAGACTCCGAACCGACCAGTCCTTGTTTTATCCCCTTAGTACCGAGCGCCAGGCAGAGTAACAACAAGTACCATATGTTGACATCTTTTGGTATGACTATATACTTACTGAGATAAAGGATGACTTGATCTATGTCAGTGATTGTATGGTATTTCGGTTCTATCACGTGCTACTGTTTCACTTGATTGATGCAGGTCGGTGAAACCTACAAACATAGGTATGGTTCTGACAAACCAAGAATAATAATCAGGGCAAATCTGGGATTCGAACCCACAATCATAGAATCCTTGCACGTCTATGGGACGCAACTCTGCACAGCGTGGCTACTTGCCCCTGATGTGAAGTGCAACTGTAACGACAGCAACGATCTGGACAGCCGCGGCTCAACTGATATGAAATAATGCATATTATATAATATTACACACTAGATATTCAAGGATGCATGTCCTTGGGTCTGTTTCTTCAAAACCTCGATCCGCAGGGGGGTAGTTCTGCGACTAAGGCGTCGCAATTCGCTGATCTTGTGTTCGAATCCCGAATTCACACCGAAATTGATCCCATGTCTATAGCGGTAGCGGTAAGTGCATATGACCTGAATCCATTTAGGCTTCCCGCTCACATTAAACCGTTAAGTGCAGTTGTACCTATTCAAAATGGCACCTACCGACCAACTC